CTATTTTGTATTAAATACGTAATGCCACATTGATTATTGACAACAAAAGAGCCATCACTTTTTTTCTTATGGAATAGTCATTACGTTGACGTGTTTTAGGATTATGCGACCTGGAACGTTGACGTTTTGGTTGCATGTATTTTATTAAAAAGTTGATCTGTTGTGGCTGAAGTTTCGTGCTCGTAAATTTTACGAAAGAAATCTAAAACCAAGGCAAGCAGTTATTCGCGATTCAAATTAATTTTCGCGAGCCTGTCATTTGTCACCTATAAGTTTGTTTATTTACATGTGTTTGTTTTGGACGGGATTTTGTATTTGTGATTGTTTAACCATTATACTAGTGTTTTTGAGTTTTCATTTAATATTAATTTAAGAGCAAACATGACGGGCGCTCCTCCGCCAGAAATCAATTTTATTTGAGGCAGTTAAAAAAAATTGTAAAAAAATGGTTTAGGGCCAATCGTTCTAAAAATGAACCAAGAATGATGCTAAATCGCGAAAAATTAATATTTTTAAAGAAAAACAACAAAAATTTCAACTTTTTAACAAATTTAATTTTTTGACTCTTTAGCGTCATTCTATAACAAATATCTTAACTATTTTCTAAATAATTTTTTCTTAAAAAGATTACCAATTTTAAACAGGACAGAAGATTAACATAGTTTTCATTCCGATACTAATTCTATTAAAACAATGATACCAGTGAATATGGCAACGCTGCTAGTCTATGAAGCCCGTGGTTAAAAGGGTAGCTGCTGTTTAGTTAAATTTGTTAATTCCTGTGGCGAAAAATAGGTAGTTGTTTTTGAAGAGGTGCGAAATTATTGTGATCGTCTTAGTTTGTTGTTGAGGCGTTGTTAGGTTTTTGTTTAATTTAGTTTTTAGTTAATTTATGAAATGAAAAATTCTGGAAGGCAAAAATGCTACCATAGCTGACAAATTTCTATTTTAATTGTTTGCTGCCAGAGTTAGTAAATCCTAGAGAAATACGACATGTGCCAATTAGGGAAAAGAGATTGTCAAGAATTTTGACCGCTTAAAAAAATGTGTAATATACAGGGTGTTTCTAAATACATGCGACAAAATTCAGGAGCTGATTGCTCGTATGAAATTAAGATGGGTCTTTCCTATAACAAAATTTCCTCAGCCTACCCCTTTTCGAGATATCACCCTTAAAAGGTGGTGACTAAAATTGAGTTTTTATTTTTTTTCTAAAATTTCAGTAAAGCTAGAAACTTAAAATTCTGTAATCGCAAAGTACTAACCACAAGTATTTTTTCAATATTCATGTTACATTATAGGGGGTGAAATTAACAACACTTACTTTATTTCATATCGAAACTTTTTTTCGAGATGAACTTTTATGAAATAAAATTATAACTTGAAATCCTTGTTTTATTTAATTTTTTTTTTTTATTCTTGAATTTTTTTCCCAAAACTAATAGCTTCAGGGAAAAAAAAATAAACACCCTAATTTATCATTTTATCATTATTTTTTTTAATAAATTGAGTAGAAAACAGTATTTTTTTTCTATGAAGCGATTGGTTTTGGGAAAAAAAAATTGAAATATTTTTTTTTTAAATAAAACAAGGATTTCAAGTTACAAAATTATTTCATAAAACTTCATCTCAAAAAAAAGTTTTGATATGAAATAAAGTAAGGGTTGCTAATTTCACCCCCCTATAATGTAACAGGACTATTGAAAAAATAACCGTGGTTGGTCCTTTGCGAGTGCACGAAAATTACAGAATTTCAAGTTTCTAGCTTTACTGAAATTTTAGAAAAAAAAAATAGAAACTCAATTTTAGTCACCACCTCTTAAGGGTGATATCTCGGAAAGGGATGGGCTGAGGAAATTTTGTTATAGGAAAAACCCATTTCATACGAGCAGTCACCTCCTAAAATTTGTCGCAATAATTTTTAAACACCCTGTATGTTGGTATATTAAGGTGAATGCAGCAGCATTTATAATTTTCGGACAAGGATATTTCAAAAAGTAATTTTGTTAAAAAATTAAAATTTTGGCAAAATTAATATTAATCTAGTTAATATTAATATTAACTAGATGTCTATATTTTAAAGTTTTAATTTCTTTCAGTTTCCGAGAAAAAAAAAATCAAATATGATAATAAAAATAATGCATTCCTAAACAGCACTATTCTTAATATAATCCCGAAATTTAAACTCTTAATGTCTTGGTAATGATTTTTTTGCGCTAATCTTGGAGCGTTGCAAATTTGCATTTATTCATAAAAAAGCATTTAAATAACTCTGTAAAATTTGAAAATCTTTTAATTAAAAAAATTCATTGGATGAGGTTTCAAATTTACCAGATTGATTAAAATAATATTAACATTTAAACTAAAATTTATTGACAAAAACGGATTGCTCAAACTGTTTTATGCTTACAATTTTATTATCAATATCTAGTGAATTTTTCTCATAAATCACTAATTTTTATTTATAATGAGACAATATAAAAAAGAATAGCTTCATTGGACATTCTAAAATTGATCAAATAATATCTCTTTAGAACGGCCTACATAGTTTTTTTTATAAAATAGATGGAATTTATTAATGTATAACACTATATATCTATTAGTTTGGTGCTATAAACTGAATAGCAATCTTTTCTGCACATCATTTTGTATTTTTTGGTAAATTAATTAATATTATTAATATAATACCTAGTTTAAATGAATGAAGATTTTGAAAATTTGGATCTTTCTAGAAAGCCAGTATTATGGGTACAATTTATTTGTGTCTGTCCCATTTTTTATATTTTTTGAAATTTATAATTCTGTCCAAAAATAAAGAATTTTTTAGTAATTTTCATCTATGATTATGAATTGCTTATAACAAGAAACTATAATAAAATTTGTGGGTGATAATTATTGTAGCCAATGGGTAGATCTCTAGATAATATATGGTCTGCGTGTTTACCCGACTTTTTACCTCTTAATTAGTTTTTTTAATTAATTCCCAATATAGCCCTATTAGATCTCATTGTATACATTAAAAAAAAACATTTACTAACCTTCGGCGTTTCTTCATTATAAATCGCGGGCGCAGATCTATCCAAAGTATTTCTTACAAAATCGCCCTGGGTTTTCTTTTTTGGAGCTCCACTCCGTCTTAACAACTTAATCGGATGCTTTTCAGATGTCATCATGGGTAACGAGAAACGTTTTGAAATTGAAGAAGACATGTTCACAAAAATTCACAAATAAAAATAGCACTGAACCAAGTAACTAAATTGTTAATGTAGATACTGAAGAGTTTTGGAAATTATTTTGGTTTAAATACGCGCTAGGGAAGGGTTAAAGTGTTAAAGTACCATCAAAATATCATTAGTGCTTGTTTTGAATTATAAATTAGACTATTATGGGGATGATTGAGGGTTGGTTTATACCTGTTAAAAATTACAATGGCAACACACCTCTAAGTGGTCTGTTTACTAGATTATGTATAAATCATGGCGACAAGGATTTGTTGTAAATTGGTACTTAATAAATAATTTATTTTGAATAACTGTCTGTTGAAACCAAAATTGTTCACTTTAGGATTAGAAATATTCGATTCTACGAAATCATTGGTAATGAAAATTACTTTTCGATTATTTGCAAAATATTCTTAATAAATATAAATTAAATTTAACTGTTTGTTTATACATTTATTTGCAAAAGAATATTCAATTGTATAATTCATTTTAAACAATTATATCAGCAAATTAGAACAATTTACTGTGTTTTGTCTAATATCAGAAAGAATTCCGATAGATTAGTTCCTATATTATTATTCGATTTCTAGCAAACAAAAACTAAATTGCTGCATTTTCACACAGTTTAAAAACAACCGAAAATATAAATTAATGGTAACAATGATATTAATGATTTTCATAAAGATGAGAACTTTTTTCTCAAAATATTCTGCTTGGCCAGCAGACAAAGTATTGAGAATAGATTGCTTATTGATAAAAATCTGATGTGTCCAACACATGACTTTCCTATCTAGTTATTATAGGCTTTTTCCGGTTATTTTGTACAACCTATTGCAGCACCTCTATAAATGTTTAGAGGATAAACTAAATATATACATTTTCCACATACTTCTACCTTGAAACATTTTTCTATAGATATTCATTGAAAACGAAAATACTGAAAAATTTAAATTTAGCACTTTTCCTACAATTTTTCCATTACGGTCCATTTTAGAAAAATTATGTATAAACAAAAATTATAGACACCGATATCGCAAACAACTTTTAGTTCAACAATTTTCATAAAAATCAGAATTTTGCACATTTTGTCAAATTTCTCGAATACGGACCATTTCAGGAAATTTTGACATAAACAAAAATTATAGATAATATTAGAAGTAACTTTTATTTGAATAATTTTCTTCTCCAAACATAAATACCAGATATATTCCATAAAATATAAAAATGACCACCTATAAAGTAACCCCCCCAGATGTTCCGACTCTGCCCAAAATCTAATCAGCTCATTGAACGCAAAGCTTAAGTTTAAAATTTGGTGTTTTTCTGTGTATCGGTTCATGAGTTATGCGACACACAGACACACACATACACGCACATAAACGCGCGCGCGCCCACACACACACACACACACACACACACACACACACACACACACACACACACACACACACACACACACACACACACAATCATCGCGAAAATAGCCAAAACGGATTCAGGGGACCTCAAAACGTAAAAATCCGTCGAAAACTCAAGGTCGGAAAAAATCATGATTCCTATACTTTCTTTATATCTGTATACAGATAGGAAAGAAAAAATGATTAAACCTTAAAATCCCTACTTTCAAATGTAAAATAAACCTAGTTCCTCTGTAATTTATTGCCTTTGTTGGTTACTGGTACACGATCAAATACTTTAATTGTTAGCAGGTACCTAGTCAATTAAAAAAAAATATAATAGTTGCTAGTTGTAACTACATTTAAATATTCTTCATTTCAGGTTTCCCAGGCCTATGCTCCTGCTGTCCAATGAAACCGCTCTCCAGCTTAGGCTCTAACCTACTGCCGACCAGCGAAGCTTCTGACATGTCCCCCGGAGGAGACCAGCGCTCCTCCAGCGTAGCAGAACTGCGCAGGAAAGCCCAAGAACACTCGGCGGCCTTACTTCAGAGCCTGCAACATGTCGCAAATTTTCAGCAAGCAGCAGGTTTCGCAGGCGCTGGTCTAAATTTTCCTATTTTGCCTCCGCTGACACTGCAGGCGCTTCAAAGGAAGCACGAAATCTCGGAAGGTAGCAGCAGTGAGGCGGGTGCTACTAAAGAGGCCCCAATGTAGAATTAGAAAGTTGATAGAAGTGTTGAGTGAATGAACAATTTTACATAATATGTAAGAAATTGTTTTTTAGAAGAAACATTTGACAATTCTATAAAAAATATTCTTTTCGTCATGCTATAAGTTAATCGATTAATTTCATGTTTTTAAATTATTTCTCTTGTAATTTTCTTTATCTTTTACCTCATCGTATGTCATTAAATATTATTTCTTTTGCTTAAATATAAAGTATGCAAAAAACACATCAATTATTTAAAGAAAATAGAAATATTTGACAACTTTAGACCAGTTGCTACATATACGAGTATAATTGACTTACATATTGCTTTCTTGTTTCTTTGCTATAAGCAACATTAAATCATTACCAAAGATTGTGTTACCTTTTATTTTTATAAAAAAAACTATTACTTAATTTTTTTATTCTAAATCTAAAATTATTGTCTATTATTATTTATTTAATTTTAGTTCGAAACAGTGTGACAACACTCTAAAATAAATTCAGTTTATGTTTTTACATTCTAATTTTATTTGACAAGCGTTGATCATGGCAACTGCTACAAGATCAAATTCAGTTTTGTCCTACAGGGTGATTCAAAAATACACAAACATATACTTAGTTCTCATAAAATTATGGAAAATGAAATAATAGTCTAAGATCCGGGGGCTGATTTCTGCAGTAATATGTTGTTTTAATAAAATTTAATTTAAATAAATTATTAATAACAACATAATACATTGCCATCGGGTAGTCTATCAAAATTTAGCTGCAATTACGGTTAATTAATTAAATTGTAATTTATTTATTTTAGTAAATTCCAGCAATATGTTTTTTGAATGAATCTTGCAGAACATGATGTGAAAATGTAAAAAGATCTCAATCAGCCGTAGCCACTAGGTTGCCAGGTGTGAACAGATATGTTATTTTTAATTATTTGCACATACCCTGTTCTTCAAAAAAATTGTGAACTAAATTGTAATTTAATTTTTGCAGAACATGATAATATATGGTTGACTTTAAAAAAATGGCCACAAATAGTGGTTGACAGTATTTGAATTAATTACTCTTGTTCTAAATAAAATTAAGGGAAAGAGGAGGAATGCGCGCCTCGCTTCATGTTGTAGACAAGGACGCAGCATAACACATGTTACTGCTATATAGTGTTGCCAGTGAGGGAAATTTTCCAAAATCTGGGGATAATCTGTAATCAATAAGGAAAAAAAGAAATTGTTTATAAATCAGAGAATTTTCAAATTTCTTTCATTTTGTGATATTTGTGAAAAAATATATTAGGCAATCACTAAAGAAATTATTAGAAAACGATTTATCCTTAGTAAAAACGCTATCTATCCTAGGTCCGATTTATTATTAGCAGCTCAAAATCTCGAACAGGTCGAATTTACTATAAACCTTACTCCCAAAATATAAACAAAGAGAAACTCTGCAAGTAAATCCCCAGAACTCGACTCGCTGGTAGTTTACGGGGAATCACACAAGAGGGACTAGTATTCTATAATAAAATAACTGTTTTAATTTCAAAATTAATACAGACTTTATTTTATTTTAGTAAAATAAAAGTGTGATTTATGTTTTTTTAATAAAAAATGTCATTAAACCGTAATAATTTTTTATTTAATTATTATGAAGTATATATTTCATTACCTTAATTGACCAATATTAATTTATATATTAATTATTTAATTATTAATTATACCGAGTGTTACAGTTAAATACCGCCGAAAATATGCATTTTATTAAAAAAAGTTTTAGACAAAAGTTTTATAGTTTTTTGGGGGAAACATTTTGGCTAAATTCATTTTTTTGTAGCTGACCATAATATGGCCATATCGAGGTAAACTTTTTTTTCAAATTGGAACCCCGTTTTTTAGGAAATTTTAAGGAAAACATTTTTTTATTGGACTTTTACTTATTGAGTTACACCTACTTGAATATTTTGCTGCACGAAAAAAAAGTTGGCCATATTATGGTTAGCTATAAAAAACGATTTTAGCCAAAAAATTTTCCCCAAAAAACTATAAAACTTTCGTCTGAAACGTTGTTTATAAAAGACGGTATTTAACTGTAACCGGTAATAGTATATTACATTACGAGTGTGGAAAATCACTTTTCACACAAGTGATGTACAATATTTTTCCTACGACCACAAAATAATTTCATCAAAAAATGTAAAACCAGATTATTATAATAATTAAAATGTATTTAAAAAAATAATCAACAATAATCGTATTTATTAAATTTTCATAATTTCTAAACAAATAAAAAAAAATAAAAAAAAAAAATAAAAAAAAAATTCTGGCACAGCCAGGATTCGATCGCGGTCGTTGGACGGTCTCAAATTGCAAAGTTGATGCTCTAACCAACTGAGCTAACAGGCCTTACGGTAATTGATTGATTTAATCGCTTATGTGTTTAACCAGAATAAAAAGCAAATATATCTTAGTTATTTTAAAATTATTTTAAAAATAATTGTTAAAGATAAATATCTAGGATCTAATTTACAATAATTTAACAATCATATCGATTTTAGTATTAATATGGACATTACATAGATCAAAATAGAAATTATGTGTTTGACATTTTCTGACAGCTACTGCGGAAAGTAGCATATTCTCACTTGGGTGGAAAGTAAATTCTTATTCATACGCGTGTGATATAGGGCACTTTCCATAGGTCTATATAGTGTGATATGTGTCACTTTCCTAAGTGGTCGTAGGAAAAAGCTTTTACCGGTCCTTAACGTCTACTTTCCGGTCTTGATCGGCAAAATGTTACTTTCGGGACGAACAATTGTTCGGGTCGGTCTTAAAAAAATAAATTTATTACAATTTGATTAATTAACGGTAGTTGCGGCTAAATTTTGATAGGCTACCCGACGTCAATGTTATCAATTATTCATTTAAATTAAGTTTCATTAAAAAACAGATTACTGCAGAAAGCAGCCTCCGGATCTTGTACAAAAACATTAAAAATATTAAAAAACAATAATCAGCAATTTTAAATACCTTAGAAACAAATTTTTACGTTAAAAACATTGATCTCTTTGTGAAAGAAATTTATTAAACGACTTTACGCTATTTTGTACTGGTAGTTTGAAAAAGTCAAAATTAAAACAATATTTACTCTTTTCTACGCCAATGGCTAAATGTGGAAATTTTTAATTTCTATGTACGTTTATCACTTTTGATTAAATTATACAGGGTATCGCTAACAGGCCTATGCAAAACACTAGCACAAAATCCTGAGGCTATATAGGGATCTATTCCAATTTTTCTTAGTCCAAAAGTTGATAGTTTTCAAAATACAGGGTGGCATAGTAATTATTTGTTATGTATTTTTCTTGTAGTCCTGTTGCCCTTAAATACGCTAAATTTCTTATACAGGCCCTAAGCAAAAACCCTAAGCCCGAATAGAGTTTGAGAGGGGGCTACGAAGAGTTTCAGTAAGCAATAAAACATTTAAATTAGATTCTGTCAGAAACCGCTGCTCGAACCGACACCTTCTATAGGTATACCTTTTTTGGACAAGAGTTATAACAATTTTTAACTAGCAATTTAATATACCAAGGCATGAAAAGTTATAAAGCTTTAAACGTAGGCCAAGTGCTGCTAGTGGCGCTCTCTGCAATTTTCATTGAAATTGTGATTAGATCTCGATTTCTCACCCTAAAAAAACTATAAGTAAAAAAATTATGAAGATAAATATTTGCATAAAAAGTTTAAAAGAATAATAACACTCTGTAATTTGGAAACTACCAACTTTTTGACAAAGGTAAATTGGGCTGTATTCTCATATTTTAGCTTCTGGAATTTGTGCTAGTCAAGAAGGTTACTCTGACGACAACGACACGAAATAGAAGAACGAGAAAGTGGCAGGTACGATTCATTTCTATACTGATGATTCTCAAACAAACAAGGCTCAGGATGTGGAATATACTCCAGATCCTCAAATCTAAACATAAAATGGGCTGTGAGCAATAGTGCCAGTGTACTTCAAACTGAAGAAATTAGCAGAAACTATATCACTAGAAGGAAAATGCTCATCTATACAGACAGGAGACAAGCACTACTCACCCTGGATAGACCACCAACGTAGGTACTCAGGGTTAGACTAGAATGTCATGAAGCTTTGGCCGAAGTATACATCAACAACCGTCTTGCTGAGTCACTAGCCAAGAAGGCAGTCAACCAAATACTTTTTGGATCTGGCACTTCCATTGGAATGACAACATCGGTAGTGACAAACTTAATTAAAGAATATTCCCTTATGAAATTCAAGAAAAGGTGGGATGAAACAAGAAGCTACATAGTTGCCAGGCAGCTTTTAAGTTACCCTGACAACACCACAGCAAACAAATACTTGACTATGTGTAGAGAGAATCTGCGCCTGACCTCAGGCATTCTGATTGGTCACTGCCAAGTACGGAAGCATCTCCACAGCATGGGACTGTCAGAATCCACACTCTGCAGAGGATGCAAACAAGAAGATAAAACAATCGAGCTCGACGCTTTCATTTATTATTTTATATTGACTAAAAATTGTTACAAATATCGTAAAATAACTGGTTTTTTTTTTTGAAAAAACCTATAAAATATACGAGTATTTAACCATTTACGTAGAAAAGGGAAGAAAATTAATGTTACTTAATTTAAAAGAAACATAGGTATTAAGCCTTTTGAGAGTGACAAAAGTATTATTTTTTGAATCACCCTGAATATTCTTCTCATATTTATGAAATCCGATATTTTAATCAGAATTATAACTATAGACCTTTCCATTCCAAACAAAGATTGAGTCTAAGGGTTGCTAACGAGACGATTCCATTGTAAAAAAATTGTAGAAAAACACAACAATATTTTTTCTACGACTACAATCACTATACAAAATAGGGGGGTTGCTATCGTCAAACGTAAATAAACTATCAATTTTTTAGTTCAATCAAGGTATATTTTGAGAAAAAGGGTATAAACCTTCCTATCGCATCGTA